TTCTTGCTTTTTTTTTTTTTTTTTTTTTTTTTTTCATGAATCCTGTCTAAATACTTCCCCCTTCCAACCCCCCCTCCAAAAAAGCTTGCTGTCTACTGGAGACACGCTTGAGAATAACAAGCGCAGTGCACATGGGAGGTGGAGAAAGACAAAGTAATTCATGTTAACTCTTCAGGACTTCTCCACCTGTGACCCCTTTCCCCTGTGCTCTAATTGCACCTCTGCAGACACATCCAGACTGCTTACGTTTTTCAGGAACCTTCCTAGGATTCATTTGCTTTTAAACTATAACAGGCCAGAGTACTCTTTATTTTATAATATTCATCCACCCTTTGTTATTTCTTTTTAACTCTGCTAATTTTTCATACAAAAGTTCATCCATAAAATAATTAAACAAATGTATTGTGTACTGCATTAATATACCACTAAAAAAAAAAAAATCTAATTGCCACATCTGCTATAGTTTAGAGGGCTGGAGGGTGGGAATGTTGATTTCTTTGTTTTGGGGGGAGTTTATTTTTTGTTTTGTTTTGTGGTATTGGTTTGATTTTATTTGTTTGCTTGTTTTTGTGGGTGTTGTTTTTTTTTGTTACTTAAAAAATACCTCGTTGTTTGCTAGTAGTATTACCTTGAAACCTATGGATCTCAAGCTGAAGTTTCAAGTACACAGTTAGTTCCTGGCACAGAGCAGGTGAGGAGCAGCACCTCTCTGGACCAAAGAAACCATCTGCGGGTTTCCCTTTGGTGTTCTGAACAAGCACCTTTTCATCATGTTGGGACCAGATGGTTTTTCTCGCGTGAAAACAGGGCTTATTTGAACAGGAAGCTCTTGCATTCATTATGACCACAGACAGTTAAAAACTAACTGGTAACTGTCATTGTCTGGCACTGTGTGTGGAAGTGGCTGTGTTTTATTATGAACTTGATCTATTTCTGTCCTGCTCTCTGCTTCCCTTTAGAAGGCTTTCCCACTTATCACCATTTTCCCTTTGTTATGGGTACAGATGTCCTTTGGCCTAGTCTCAACATCATCCGCAATACACAAGTGGCAGCATCCTTGGTATATAATTTGCCCCTGTGTGCACCTGTAGGATTCCCTTTGACCAGACAGAGGTTATTAAACCTGTCTTTCAGTTTTATAGAAAGTTTTCAGTCTTCACTCCTTGATCACTACTCCATTTCTTAACTATATTTTTCTCAATCTCCCCTGATTTCCTGCTGCGGCTTTGGATGTTTGCCTTGCATGAAACTTGCTTCTGCTAAGGGCTGAGACTGCCAATGAGAGCTAGGTCAATGGAGCCTGCTCATGTTCACTGGTCTGTGTGTAGCCTGTTTGCTCCCAGCTGGTTCCTTACTGGTGCTCCCAGAATTTTTGGCTGTGGCTCTTTTGTGCCTATCTCATAAAATTAAATCGTATTTATACAGCTACTGCAGAGAACTCAAGTACACGTTGCGCTTTGGGTAGGGTAAATTCATCTGTGTGATTCAGGCTTCTCAAATGGTTTTGTTGCTGCTGTTGGGTAATGGGATTGAAATGCAGTTTTGAATTTTTTGGGGACTGTTTTCCATTTCTGTGCTGCCCACCACATGGTGTGCAGTTCACACATGTCGTCTTTTGGAGCGAAGCGCTAAGTAGTGGGAAGATCACCCAATTCCAGGTTTTATAGTGAATACTGCAGTGAAGATAGATACACTTTTATTAGCAACAGTTCCTTGGATGTGTGTGTGTCTTGGAATAGGTTAATTATTAGAGATGCCAGCTTGATCTTCTGAAATTTTTTAAGCTGTGCTTATTTCTGTGATGCAACATCTTTTTTTCATATCGAATTTAGCTGCCTTTGGTGTGTTGTTTTTCTTTTCTTTCTTTTTTTATTTTTCATTTGTTAATCTTTGCTCAAACATTCTGTGGTGTAGCGTGAGTCATTCTGTCTGTGTGGGAAAGGACTGGTTTGTTGCAGGGTTCAGCCCTGAGTGGGGAGGGGAAAGGGTGAAATGTATTTATGTTTTCTATGTGTTTGTTGTGGAAATGCATAAAACATTTTTTTTTTCTCTTTCTTTCCTCTCTTCATCATCTCATCTGTGTGGGTGAATGTTCCTGCAAACCCTTTGGGGACCTATAGAGACCTTTGGTATGCTCATTCTTTCATTAGTGCCCAAAGTCAGATGCTGGGAACAATTTAAAGATGAAAAAATAGGGGGGGTAAAGGGGGTCTCATTGTAGCAATGTGAAGTGGCTAAAAATGTGCACTAAAGGAAAACTTCAAACTCATCATTTAATGTTTATTTGCAACATCAAAATAATATCAATGGCTACTATAGACTACAACTAGTTAACATAAATTTGGATTTGGCACTAGAAAGGTAGAAATGAAGTGAGTTCTGTATCAGAGGTTGTTTCATGATCAAAATCAATTTTTTAAAAATATCTGTTTTCAGAAGTGACATAAGTGCGTGCATTTAAGTTGCCTAAATTATTTTGGAAGTCACCTCCTGAATTTCTATGTAGTGTAAAAACCCAGGTGATTTCTGAATGTGAGAACCAGGCAAAATTTGATACATTTTCTCTTGAAAGATGAGGGCATCGTGAATAAATTAATACCATTAGGTAGCTTTCTTTTGTAAACACACGTTCAGTGCCACTTTCTGAAAAAGGAACATAAGTAGAGTAAGTTAAATGTTCTCTGTTGTAGGAGAGCTTGTGGCTTCTTCATTTTTCTAGAAACTAGGCTTCTTCTTCCCATGAATCCGCAGTTTGAATATTTCCATCTGGATTTCAATTTTTTTCATAAACATTCTTTTTTCATAAACATCCATAAGAAGAACTGAAACAGAGATGATTACATGAAAATGTCATGGTATATTTTTATAAATACTGAAAATTATATTCCAGTGCAAGAAATGCAGAAACATGAAGTATTTCTTTATATGAACAATGGAAATTTTGCAAGGGATATTTAAGACATGCTGTACCATAATAACATGGGCAAATTAAAACTTCATGTTTTGTCTATGCTTTGTATTTTTAAAACAGTGTTAATTAATTGTCTACAGCTGCTTAGAAACATAGAATTATTGACATTTGAAAAGACCACTGATTGTATAGTCCAACTGTCAACGCATCACCACTATGCCCACTAAACTATGTCCCTGAAAATTTGAAGGCCCACAAGTCTGAAGGTTTGGCTTTTTGGTAATTGTACTGATCATCTTAACTTTTTTTTCTTGACATTAAGAAAAAAATAAGTCGTATTACTTTGGAGTCAACTTACACTAAAAAAAAATAAAATTGCAGGTAGTCATCAAACTAATCAGTTGTCATCTCAGTACTCCTAGTGGAAGAAGAGGATCATTAGACCTGAACTTAGACATTGCTAGATTCCTTTTTTGTGTAGAGAATTCCATGTTATAGGATATCCAGTCTTTTTTTCAGATGAGGATCTTTAGATCATTGAATGATGAGGATTGATGATCCTCATTTGAGAATGCCCTGATTTCCAGTATTCCCAATAGCCCCAAAAATTTCAAAACAGTAAGACATTTTCCCTACTTGAGACAACTGTCAAACGTCTTATTGGCTCCCCACTAAAATACATTTAACTTACAGTCAGTTTAAATGCCAATTTAATGTAATTCCTTTGGCATAAAATGTTTTTCTATTCTACTTACACATAGGTTTAAAGTAATAGAGAGAAGGAATACATTATCACGTGTTCCTCTTAAGATAAAATTACTGTGCATGTCTCATGTTTTAAACACTTTTCTAACCTTGAGGTCTGCCAGCTCTTTTGACATTTTGTCTAAAATTTCCCTTGCATTGATGCTATTCTATAGGAGTCAGTGATGGAGGGAGCTGCAAGCCCCCTTTCTTGAGTATTTTGCTACAGTTGAATCCTATAGCACAGCTGAGAGGGAAAGAAAACCAGAATTAGTGACCAGTCTATTCCAAGGCTGCCGTTGTTTTTATCACTGCAGATACTGCACCGGTCACAGAAAAATGGTAAGAGAAAAGGTCTCTATGAGCTTCAGAAAGTGAAATGCAGATCCAAAACTGTAAAATTCCAGATACTGGCCAGAATAATCTTGACACATTGCTGAGTATTTTTAGAAATTGCTTAGGTCTGAACATTGCAATACACAAAATCCACTGTTATTAATATTTCATTATGTGTAGTGACTCAGAAAACACAAAAACAGTATGATATTTTCTTCTCAATTCTGTGACTTTTTCAGAATCATGGCAGTTTCTGAAATGCCTCTCATTTATGACTATGCATTAAGTAACCTACTTTGATCTGGCTGATAATTGATATTCAGAGAAATACAAGAAGTGAAAGATTATCTGAACAAAAAACGTTGGTGCACATTTTAAATGGTCATCTAGAACTTTGCACTTATTCATTCCTTGTATCTCAGTGCAAAATTAAGAATACTTACTCTCTGACTGTGGGCACATCTAACGTGCAGTGTTGTTGTAGCCCTGTGCTTTGTCTTTGCTTGCAGTAATGCTGTGCTTTTGGTACTGGAGCTTGCAAACAGCCTTTATTTAAAGGTGATGGGGTGGAGGGAAAGCAATGAGATTGAAATAAGTCTTAATAAGTTGAAAGAAAAGGGAAAAAAAAAAATGTATTATTATTTTAAATTATCCTTGTTGAATGACTACTTATACATCAGGTGTTTGTGTTTTTTTCCCAATCAAATTAAGAAAGTTTTGTATCACCTTAAAGCCTGCTTGCTTACACAGTATTTTGAGCTACTACAGCTGGTGTAGTTTAATTAAAGTGTGTGGAATAATGTAACTACTCCGGGAAGCTTAGAGATCACCTGGAGATAATTGTAGGATTCTGAGACATTGGTGCTCACCATAGAAGATACAAAATAGTACCTTAAGAACTGAAGATTGGAATTGATAATGAAATTCATATATTTTGTAAACAGTGCATCTCTATCACATCCAAGATGACTTACATTAATTAAAATGTTGGTTTTGTGTGTGTTTTCAGTGAAAGAGTTCCTAGCCAAAGCCAAAGAAGACTTTTTAAGAAAATGGGAAAGCCCACCTCAGGTATCACTTAATAATTTAATAATTTTCTCTATAGCATTTTTTCATATAAGTGTGGATCAGTGTAATGAGCAGCAGAAAAGACTGAAATAAGTTTAATGCATTTTTCAACAGAGTTTCCATTTTGAATGTTAATTTTGTCACTGATATTCGTCAGGAAAGACCCAGACCTCCAGACTAAGCTGATGAAATGGTCGTACTGAGCAACTGCTTTTTCTTGCACTGAATTATGTTTGCCATCAACATGAGAAAACTCAGAATCAATGGTCATATTTTACCTGGCTCTTTGTAGCAGTAACCATTGGCGAATCTATAATTTACCTTGCTGATATTTTCTTATGTTGTTAATAAAGAATATACTGCATGAAGCTTGTGGGCAGGCTGAGGAGCTTGAAAGAATAATCTGTTCAGAGACTGAGGGGAGTGGGCTTTTTCATAGAGAGGAGGGATGGGGACAGTGGAAAGCATGATGGTATTTTATTGAAACAGCATTTGAAATACTTTGATAATGAGTAACTGAGGAAGTTTTGTCAGTGATATTTCTTCCAGACAATTTATATGTGGTTTGGTTCTAGGATTTTGCTCTAATTTTCTGCTTTGTGGAACACTGGGGAGTTTGTTTATTTATTTGTGCCTTAAATTCGTGATCTACTTACTGTTAGTCTCCCTCTTACTAAGCATTTGTCATCTGTGTAGACAAATTATTGAAATGTTAATACAACTCAATTAAGTCTTTTTGTTTTAATGAGTGCAATGTAAAATATAAAATCTTATTAAAATTTGATAGGCATGACAACATAAAACAGCACTAGGTTGCCTATATTTTGTTGTACCTTGATGTTAGATTGTAAATAATATCATTTTATCCCTTTATGTGTAGAATACTGCTGGCCTAGATGATTTTGAGAGGCAAAAAACTCTTGGAACAGGATCATTTGGGAGAGTTATGATGGTGAAGCATAAAGCCACAGAACAGTATTATGCCATGAAGATACTGGACAAACAAAAGGTTGGTGCAATTTTTACTGCGTTTTTGTGGTTCAGAAGGGTTTGATGTAGACAAAATCTGGTGGCTGTGACTAAACTGTGTTTCTCTTGTACAGTTGCACAAATTTTAGCCTTAATGTGTAATTTAATAAAGACTCCTTTATAAGACTTAGGAAACTAAACTTTATAGCATAAATTCTGGCATTACTTTTACTTGAAAGAGCTCTTTTTTTTTCTTTCAACTTTAGCATTCTCTTACGAATGTTTTCTAACTTCTTTTTTTTTTTTAAAGACAGAAAATATCCACTTAAATTAAAAAGACTTCCCAACACAGTACAAATGAAAGGCCATTTGAAATGCTATTTGAAATTTGAAAGGCTGTTTGAAATGATTGACCATTTCAACACTTTATTCCCTTACTAGGACTGATGAAATTCTGCAAGAAGTCTCCCTGTAAAACAGGATGTGATGAGTGAAAGCATCCTGTGCCTACGGGAAGAGCCAGTTATCTGACTTGGAAAATTGGAAATTGGATAGCAGTAGCTATAAAATTATCTGGCAAAAAAAAAAAAAAAAAAAAATCACATTGTTAATGCTTGTAGTGGATTTACAGTAAAGCATTCTCACAGGCTTAAAGATATTTGCAACTAGTTATGTTGGTTCTCCATTAGGAAGCTAGGTGGCTTTTTGTCTGCTGGCAGAAGGCTGTCTGCTGTTCCATGATGAAGTACACAAGTCAGTTTTCTTCCAGTGCTTGGGCTGGAACCAGGCCTTGGGCGTTTGAATTGCCCTGTGTACAAACCTTGATGTCAGCATCTGGTCCCATGATGCCAGGTGCTGTGTTGGCAGTCTGCAGCCACACTGAGCTGTTGATTCCAAGGAAAGCTCTTTACACCCTGGTGTTGTCCAGCTCCTTTAGAACTGGGGAGCCCTCTTGCAAAGAAGCCTTATTGCAGTGTTCCAGTCTCTTCTGATTACCAAGGCACATTAACCAAGTGTGGGATGTGGAAACATTGCCTCTCTAGCCCAGCCAGCTTGCCCTTGGGATTTTTAGGCATAGAGAAATCAGTCACTTCTTGTTCTGGGGCTGGCTGCATTGCTGCCCTTTGTTACCATAGAGGATCACAGGGAAGTCCAGCTGCTGTTATACAAACAAGGAAAATGGCTAGGAGCTCAGTCATTTCTGAAAAGAGTTTGCTTTGTATTTTAATTGCAAGAACTACTTCTTGGTAGTGGTTTCCTGTTAATCATCTCTTTATCAAATACACAGCTATATTTCCTTTTGGAAATTTCTGCCAGTTTCAGTAAGTTTTATGGAGAATTTATGAGTCCTTCATCACAAAGGACAGATCATCATGGAAATATTTGAAGGAATATTGAACAGGATGGATGGCCAATGCGGTGACTATTTTTTTTTTAACAAAACTTCAGTCTGGCTCATTAAGATAGGAAAGAAATATGTAGTGTATATTGAAGTAGCCAGTAGTTTTGTTTGTAGGGTTGTTATTCTTTTATTTTTCTGCCTTGACCTAGCAAGGATGTAATATATGAAGGCCACTGAAAGTGATGCCTCCTATTTATCTCTGCGGAAATAATGACAGATACAAAGAGCACAAAAACACCGTAAGACAGAGGAAATACTCAGCTACAAAATTCCATTTTTCAATATTGTCACCACCATTAGCTGTGTGTTTTTGCCAGCAATGAACAAGGGCCTGCATGCTGTGCTCACAAGGATCTGTAACAGTGGTGGTGACCACTGTCACTGTCAGCACTGCTGAAATGCACCACCCACTGTCTCACTGTGCTCAAATCCTGTTTGTTTTACAGAAATGTTCAGTAAGCATTGATGAATGTCAGTGGACACAATTTCTTCCACTGGAAGGAGTTCATTGACACTCCTTTGCTTCATATGCACCTACATGTCAGACTCCATGCTGTCAAACTGCCCCTTTGCTGCCGTCTGTCACATGGCAACAATATGTAGTGGGGTATTGGTGGGAGGATTCAGCCTCTACTGCCATCCCACCAACATCCACCTCTGACTTTGTCGGCCAACATAACAAAATAGAAGGCAAGCTTTCAGAGCAGACCTCGTAAGAATGCATAGTTTCATTACAAAATTGCTTTTGGAAGATAAGTAATGTTAACAAAAGCTCAGACCCAAGCAATTTATGGGTTAAACTGCTGGTGTGGATATCATTGATCTAGAAGGTGACGCTGGACATGCCTTTAGCCAGAATTCAGTGAGAGCAAAGCTGTGTTAACTGAGGCTCCAATTTGATAGCATGAAGTGCTAAGTACCAGTCTCGGCCTGTGGTATTGCTATGATCACCCTCCACTATTTCTATAGCAGAAGCTGCAGAAAGGGTTAAATCTTGTCTAGAAGCTGAATGCTTTGCAGTATCAAACTATAACCTTACTTTGCTGTTTTTGGTGGTCAAAACAATTCCAGTGCCATAGCTTTTTGGGGACAAAGAGGACACTTCCCATGAGTGAGCTGATTGATAATGCTTGCTTTTTTTCCTGCTGTTCTTATGCCTCAGTGCAAATTTTTGATTTGATCTAAAAATTCTTGATTGAAAAGAGATTTAATACTTTTAATTCAATACAGAAATAATACAATTTCTTTTGTATGACATTTCTTACCAAAAAAAAAAAAGTCACCTTTTTTAATACTATTTTCATTTAAAGGATAGTTAAATTTAAACACCGTTTTAGTCAGGACTGGAGTATCGTGCTTGTCTGTTATTTATATCACTTATATTTGCTTTCCAAACTTGTGAAAACAGGCTTATTTTCATCAGCCTTGTACATTTTCGTGTTTCCAGTGCAGAAAAAAAGTGTGACTTTATGTCATTCTGAAGATACAGATAAATTAAGTAATATGGATGAAGTAAAATGGGGCTTAACATCAGGAAACAAATTGCTAATTCCCAAGAAGTGATCAGCAATCTACCACTTGCTGCCTTGCTGGTAGCTTAACACTGTAATGTATTTCAAGAAGGTAGCATTTAATTTTTTAGTCCTGTCACCAAGCAGTTTGATATAATGCAGAAAAGCAAAATTCATTGAAATGTCACTGAAGTAAGTGTTCATAAGAATGGAAACTTTGAATGTATGTTTTCCTTAGTCTTCTCCTCACTAATGTGTGAACTCTGTAAAGTAAATCAGTTTACTTTGTTCACTTGTAACAAAATTCATAATTAAATACATGATGCAAATTCCTGCCTTTCTTAGCTAAGTCAGAATTACTAGATTTTTACTGAGTTGTCTTGCTGTGGAAGTATCTCTGTTATCAGATCAAAGAATTCTTACGAACATGTAAAAAGATGTTTTCCTTACAGATGCTTATCCTCAGCAGGTAGGAAGAACTGGTGTTTCTTGAGTTATCTGCATAACATGAGTATTACTCTTTAGAATGGTTATCCTTCTCATTCCTTTCTCATTACTTCTGCTGTGCCAATAATCTGTTAGGGTTTTGGCTGTCTGTAAAGATATGTGCTTGTTTTCAAATGACTTTGTTGTACTGAAAAATATATTGGTGATTATAAAATGTCATAGGCTGGAAATTTTTTTGCTTTTTTTTTCTGTACTAGGTTGTCAAGCTGAAGCAGATAGAACACACACTGAATGAAAAGAGAATATTACAAGCAGTGAACTTCCCTTTCCTTGTAAAACTGGAGTATTCTTTTAAGGTAAGCAATTATTTTTATTTTTATTATAGCATTTTAAACAAATAGACATTCTAGCTTAATGTTTATGACTTTGAGGTTTGGGGATGGAGCTATAGGAGATGAGAATATTATAGGCTTAAGATTATATTGTAATAATATGGTCTATTATATTATAGACTTAAGGGTGCAAGTTCATAGTTTGTGGTCAGCATTTCACTCTTTGCTCCTTCATATCATTCTACACCATTCTGTGTCAGGAGCCCACTAATTATCGTTATATCGTTATATTTTAATATTAATTTTAGTAGATTTCTTGACATTCTGATACTCCTTTTTGTCGAGTGTCAGCATTTTTCCAAGAATTTTTTACCTGTGTTTCTTTTTATTTATTAAGGTCATTGGATGTCTATAATTTTTCACTTTCATTCTTTAATAAAATATACTGTATCTGGGAATTATAAACACTATAGAATGTCTAGTACATATTTATGTGTATTTATTTGCTTCTTTAGGACAATTCTAATTTATACATGGTAATGGAGTATGTTCCTGGTGGTGAAATGTTCTCACATCTAAGAAGAATCGGAAGGTTCAGGTAAGAAGTCTTACTAAAAATATTCCTTCAAAAATAGTTCTACTGCTAATGTGGGAAGAGTTTCATAAAATGTGTTACTGTTAATGAAAAAGTTCTGAAGGGATAAGTGCATTTAATTTTGCCTTCTTTTAGCAGACTAATATATGCAATGAAAAAATTATAATTAATTTTCAGTTTTTTTAATACAGATATTAGTAATCTAGGTATAATAGAATCTAGGAACTGCTTTTTTTTCTATTTTTTTTTCCATTTCCTAATTCTTGTAATTAGGAATTGTTATGCACATTGGCACTGAAACTGATAATGGTTTCGAAAAGTGAAGTTTAAAATCTGAGTTTAAGTTCTATGCTGTACAGTATAACCATCTTGATTTGAAAATATATTTTAAATGCAAAACCTAAGAAATTAGATTTAATGTATGAAAGTATCAGTTCTAAAGTACTTGCTGGTTGTTTTTGCAGTGGTTGGGGGAGGGTTGTGTTTGATATAGATTTTTGTTTGGTTTTTCTTTTTGTTCTTAGTATACAATACAAGAACTGATTAAAAGAGCTGTCTCTGGCAATCTGGTGGTTGTTTCAGTATTTTGGCATAGCACTGAGTTCCTTAATATTGTTTTAATTCTTCACAGTGAACCACATGCACGGTTTTATGCAGCTCAGATAGTGCTAACATTTGAGTACCTCCATTCATTAGACCTCATCTACAGAGATCTAAAGCCTGAAAATCTTTTAATTGATCAGCAAGGATACATCCAGGTATGGTAGTCTTCATGTATTTGGGGAGTGGACTCTCATTTCACAATGCAGTTAGGTAATTGTAGCAAATATGTTTAGAATAAGTGAGCTGGTTGGCATGTTAGCATATGCTCTGGGGCATCACTGAGCTGAACTTCCTGTGACTGAAACAAAGTATGCACACTTTCATTGCTTATGCCAACTTGTCAGGATTCTCCTTGTGGTCTGTGGTGAGGAGGAGGTGATGATGTGGCTCTGTTCATCTGAGCTACATTATACATCTGCCCTAAAATGAGAAGGTACTCTACAGTGTCTGGTTCTCTGCATTGTCTATATAAGCAGTTGAAGATGATTAGATGTCAACATCTGCAATATAGTACTTAATTTCAGGCAGTACTTAGTCTCACAGCATTGTAGAGCCCATAACCTTCTCAGCAATTCAGATCAGAATTGCAGTGCTGCAAATGATTTGTTTTACAACAGCTTCTCAGCACCGCTTCAACTTCTTTTTAGTTTCTCTGCTTGTGATCAAAACGACGAATGGGAAAGTGATGTACAGCAACAAGCATTCTGCAGTACCTTGCAGTTCTTACACCGTGGAAGCTTCTCTTCCCTCGTAGTGTCACCTTTAGCCTAAGTCTAACAGTAAAATAAATTATGAAAACATGGAGAGAAGTGGAAAGGACTCTTAACTTGAGTTTTTTTAACAGTACAGTAATACTGCATAGAAAACAAAATAACACTGTAGAGAGAAGAGAAATATGAATTTCATTAATGTGGATAAAGAGTACCATGAACATAAACCTATGAATGTCTTTTGTAGAACTGCTGACTCTCTGTACTGAACAATACATTTTTATGATGGTGGGCAAATTGCAAATGGTAGCAGAGCCAGCAGTCAGTCTTCCCATGGCAGGTTCTTTAGTTTCTGCTTCTAAACAAAGGGAGTTTGATGTTCATGTGTTCATGCTGCAGTTCCAACTAAACTTTGTTTAAAAGCTCCATTATTTTTCTTTTTGAATTTTAAAACAGTTACTTGTTTGTCCCATGCCTGCAGTATATTCTTACTCAGATTAATATGTATTCACCAACACAGCAGGAATTCTTTGCTGACTGAAGCAAGTCAGCATGTTTGCTCTCTCCATTCAGTTGCAGGTGTGATTGCTGTTGTTTCTATGAAAAATGAAGCAAAAGCTGCCTTGGTAGTTTGGCATTTAGCTTGTTAACTACCTCTGTGTGACCTTACTGTATCAGAAACATTGACACAAGTTGTTGTGTAATTAGTGATACCAAGAAGGAGGAAATAAAAGGAAAGGATCCTCAAATAAGCAAAGACTTGATAGGTTGAAACTGGTCCCAGAATTTCAAAAGTAACCTGCTGGCTTCCATATGTATTCTGCAATATGGTCCAGGAAAACTCCCAGCGTGAAAGATGAAATAGCATGCAAAGTTCTGAAAACTTACTGCAGAAAACATGACAAGTGGAATGAAGAACCCTTAACTGCCAAGAACTTGTCATTTGTGACTACAGTTACAGCTACATTTTCCCCACATACACAATCTTCAGATAAGTAAGCTGGGTTCTGGTGATGCTTTCAAAGATATTCAGAATGAGAAGTTACTGGAAGACCTCTTCTACATTGTCATATTCCCACACTATTTTTTCCTTATAACCTTCATACACTTCTGCTATGAAAACTTCCCCAAGATTCTCTGATGTCTTAACCCTTTTTGTGATTCATTTATTTGTCAACTGAGGGAAAAAATGAATATCTTGTTTATATTTACATTCTTAGAATTTTTAGTGGTATAAGCAGTCTGATGTGAAAAGTAAAAGAAAATATATTAATATTTTGTGGTACGTACAGATGAGGGAATTGTAGCTCCTACTGATTATTGAAATTATAAACAGAAGAGTTTTCGAGGGAGAGAATATTTATTTTTGTGTTATTTATTTTATTATGAGAAAAACAAAACAAAACAAAACAACTGTAAGTGAATTAAAATTACTGGAAAAAAGTTGCCATATAGGATGCATGTGACTGTGTGATAGCACGTGATCTGACACATAAATTTTTCCCATGTATAAAATTCCTCTCCAAAATATTTCAGAGGTACTTAATTTTAAATTCTGATGCCAGGTCACGGACTTTGGCTTTGCAAAAAGAGTAAAAGGAAGAACTTGGACGTTATGTGGGACTCCAGAATACCTGGCACCTGAAATAATTCTCAGCAAGGTACATCAGTTCTATAAATGAGAATTGTCCGTCATGTATGTGGTGTGATTAAAAGGTATTACCTAATTATTAATCTCTGAGGGATGAACAGTTGCTGGTAGTTGAAAATTCAAATTATTGACAAGTTGTAGTGAAGTATACAAAATGCAAGTTTTGCATCATAAGTGTTAACAGACTAAAAGAGGAGCTCCAGAACTGCGTAATGGTTGAATCAGTAGTCATTGGAAAACTACTTGCAGTGTTTTATGTTTAAAGCACATGAATCAAACATGGAAAAACACCGGTCTTGCATGTAAATTATACGCAGCCTCATACTTGTACTCTATTTGAACATTGAAGAAATCTTGTAGCTGTGGTATCTTTTAATGTTTTGCAAAAGAAAAATTTTTATAGTTCATGGAACTGTTCATTATATTCATAATCTTGTTAAATTATTCACTGAGTAGTTTAATTAAATACCCTTTGTAGGTCTTTAAACAGAAAAAAATTTTACTTTAGGAGAAAGTGTTGGATGTTTTTGGTTTTTATGATGTTAGACCTATAAAGCAGCAAAGGAAGTTGCAATGCCTCTGTTACAAATTCTCCATAGTTGATTATTCAAGAACAACTGAGTCTTGACCTTGAGCTTTGTAAAAGATCTCAGAGGGAACACATGAAATTGGGGCTAGGAGGGTTTTCTGTATTTATATATTCTATACATCCTATCGGTGCAAGGATATCACTGGGAATCAACACAAGAATTTGTGCGAAGTATTTTGCTTTCATTACAGTATAGCTGTTAAAACTGGAGAACTTCAGTTTGTTTTGAACTAGGGTGTATTAAATGAGCAAAAATATATATTTTTTATATTTTCTTTCTTTACAATATATAGCAAATGTTAAACTCTTTTAGAAATGGTGCTAACTGTGTTTTTTCTGGTTTTATCCAGGGTTACAACAAGGCAGTGGATTGGTGGGCATTAGGAGTGTTAATCTATGAAATGGCAGCTGGATATCCCCCATTCTTTGCAGATCAACCCATTCAAATTTATGAGAAGATTGTTTCTGGCAAGGTAAGTAAAGACTCTGTATGTTTTCATAAGCACAGTTTGTTTTTCACTGTGTTTGTAGTACCTGATTTTTATGTGGAGTTGATGCAAAATTCACTGGATGCTGTGGACACTGAGCAATTTGGAATGAATATAGCAGAGGACTGGAATTGGATGATCTTAACGGTCCCTTTCCAAACCAAACTTTCTATGAATATGGGAAGAATTTGTAATGAATACTTATTAGGTACAGGCATTGTGATAGTAACAATAATCAAAGCTTTAAGAATCCAGGTGTTTGCAGCCTGCACAGTTCCCTGACATCAAATTTAAAATGCATATTTTTAAATTTACAGCACTGTAGTATTATACCTTTCTATGCTTGGAAAAAAAATGATTCAGTAACTATTAACAACCACTCACCAGTACGTTGTTTATCTCGCTATTTTCTTTATAGAAATGTCTTTATAGCTTTTGAGAAGCTCTAAAGTGTTTCCATAATTCATAGTAGTTTTCTTCTGCAGCAGCTAAGTGCTGTAGTTTTGATGGGTTTTTTTTGTTTGTTTGTTTTTGTTTTCAAATTTTACCTATTTTGCTTTACATATTTACTGTTTATCATCTGATTTGTTCTTAAGTCTATGAGTGGATGGCTGTGGAAACAGCACTGGACTTGAGCACTGGAAACTCTAGTATTCTGTTCTCATATATCAGTATATTTGTATCTCATATCTCAGTATATTTCCTTTAAATCTTAATTTAATAGTTTAATTTGTTGTGCATTTAGTTCATTACTTAGAATACTTGGTGTATATGAATGTTATTACTATATATATTCTATCTATATATGCACACAGAGTGTGTGTGTATATATTACTTGCTATATACGAATTGCATATGTAGTGTGTTTATGCATGTAATTTAAAAATTGGCTCCTAGAAATTAGTTGAGAATGCCTTGAAATGTGGTTGTGTTGTTGTGAAACTAGTTAATAATATTTAGATCTAGCTTTTACGTCGTTGTTATATTAAATTAATATTTTCCCCCCAACTCAATCAAATCTAGAAAATTCCAGATCAGAAAATGATAGATGGGGAAGGTAATGCTATTGGTAAAGGCTTTCTGAAGCAGAAAGTGGCACCAGTGCTTCTCTTTGTGTGAACATTTTTTTGCTTATACAAGGGAAGAATCAAATCTGTACATTAATGTTGTGGATGTACATTTCAGGTAAGGTTCCCATCACACTTCAGTTCAGACCTAAAGGATCTTCTAAGAAATTTACTCCAGGTAGATTTGACCAAACGATATGGAAATCTCAAGAATGGTGTAAATGACATAAAGAACCACAAGTGGTTTGCGACTACAGATTGGATTGCCATTTACCAGAGAAAGGTAAGACACTTCCTGAATCAAATGAGAAGTTGAAGTCAAATTTCTAATTATTTTGTTAATTTTAGCATTCTTAAATGTGTAATTTTTCAAATGAGAAAATGTGAAAGTAGTTGAACATATAAGATTGAGGATTATATATTGATTGAATTATGTTTGTTTCTTGTTGCCATTTTATCCTGGACCTCCATATACTCATGTTGTCTTAACACATGTTTGTGCTTTAGTCTATTCCTGGAATATCTCAGAATGAGCCATCTCCTGCCTCTCTTGCTTTTTATTTAATCCCTGCTATAATGGCATCTATAAATACTACACAGCAGAGAGGAATCTGTTTTCCTTTCCAACTACTTCTTAGCAGTCAGGCTGTGCTTTACTGGGGAGAAACTCTAGCCAAAGCTGAAGTACCACTCTCTCTGATGAAATAGTATTCTCCCTTTTGCTCTTGCTCTTGCCTTACCTGTGACTGGAACAGGTTCACATGTATGTATCTGCTGGAGATATTCTCATTCTGACACTACACTGCAGCTGATTGTGGTTTCATAAATCACAGCAGTGACTTACAGAGCCCTTCTGAATCCTGTTTTGTGATATTTTTAGAATGGCTTTCTAGACCTGCCTGTCCAATGTGAAATCTAATGTGGCATTTAATAAGTTTGGTGCCCAGTATGCACTGTGAACTTGCATAAGAATGAAAGTAAAACACAGAACTTGGGGGGATTTGGAGAGCATGGGGAGCCAGTAGCAAACCAGAGGAGTATAGTAGTGCTTTCAGGGATGAGTAAGACAGGGCTTGGAAAGGACACTGGGGAAAAGAGGAAGTATGACTGCAGTTCAGTGTGGGTCTGTCTTCCAGTAGCTCCAGATCTCCCTCTCCCATGGAAGCTAGTTGAAGCTAGTAATTCTAGTATTCAAAGTCGAAGTTGAATGTTGTCTGTATATTAGTGAGTTACTAGATTGTTTAGATTGTTTAGATGGATTGTTTAGAAATTATTTGTTCTTTTAAGGCAACCTCTGAATTGCTTTTTTTTCAATAAACGCCAAAAAAGACTAAAATAATTCTGTTGGTGTTGTCCCAGAAGAATCGTGTGGAAGAATCGTTTAGTATTCAGAATTTGATAAAAAGGTTGCATACTATAGAATAACAAACACTTCAAGGAGCTGCTTACCATCATTGAAATGAAACAGTCTTGACTAGAGGCATGAATTTGCTGCTGTAACAGAAGTATTTTAAAGGACAAACTTAGGTACTAACAATAGTTTATAAAAAGAAACTGGTTGTTTGGCTACATGAACTGACAGTGCAGTTGTTATGGCATTTGCTTATATATTAATTACTAGAAGACAGGATGCAATTAAGACATCTGATATTCATTGTGTTAAGTATGGATGTTTTAAGAAAAGATTTCCCTCTGCAGAACTGTAATTATCTGCTCTCTGCTTGCTTAATGCCTGTTTACAAGATAATTTTAAACACTATTAGTTTCATTCCATAGTATGCTCTTTTGGGACACCCAGGCCCCATTATTTTAAAGCATTATAATATAATATAATTTATTATATAAAATTATATTATTGAAGGTAGCATTTTTAGTACACTGCTGTAGAAATTTACTTTTACAGAAACAATAAATATTTTTAAAAGATGAACTGGTACTACAGGCAGAATAGCTGTTACTAGTTTTAAAGGACTGTGTAAAGTGATACAGAAGAACTTCGAAGCTTCTAATTCTACAAAATAAATACAGTAATACTAGAGGTCTGAAACAACAGTGTACATTGTAGTCTCATTTAAGCAATCATTGAAATACAGCAAAAAACTTAAGTTTATGCCAGCTTCACACAAGCTGTTAACACAGCATGGATTTTCCTGTATAAACCTAGTGTTCCTTGGCAGCTAACCAAATAGGAATAATATTGTTATGCTGCAGTCTTAAGTAATATATTCAGTTACTTAGTATTTCAGGTGAGATAAAATCGTGTTTTCTTTGTGTGCTTGCATGGCTATTTATTAAAATGCTGCTTGATAATATGGTATACTTAGGGTCAAACAGGTATTTTCACTGTAAAACAGTATTATCTCCTGCAATCTCTTTTTAGCTATTTCCTCAGTTAAAATAGTAGGAAAAATGTTGTGAAATACAGACACAAATAGCTGTCTGATGCATCTCATTTGAACACCTTCTGTAATTCCAGCAGTAAATAAGACATTTATTGTTCTCCGAACTTTATTATAAGGCAGTAATTGAAAATTAATTTGGGAAGACATAAAAGTAGAATTTAGATAATGGTAAGTGTATGATTAACTAGGTACTTACTAAGGCTGAGAATATTCTCAGTATATATAACCTAAAGAGATACCTTGTTTTAGGAACAGTACAGTATGCTCCTGATAACTGTAGCATGGTCCATAAATGCAGAAAGCTCGTGTTATTTTCAAGCACACACTCTTCTTGGGAAGTTCCTGCAAAACAAACTATCTGATCACTTTGCATTTCCCAGTTGTTATAGTTTCGAATTTGCATTGCATCAAATAATATTTAAATTTTGCATGAAGATGGATAAATTTTCTAAGGTCAACATCAAAAAGTAGCAGGTTCTGTCAGCTTTAAGAAGCAGCAGTATTGAGAATCCTAAAAACAACTGTTTCTAATATATAAATGTGAATTGCTTACTACCATGTAGTTGGCATAAGATGCACAGAATTTCAAAGCCAACAATGTGTTTGTGGATTTGAGAGTATGTGCTGCCTATCTTTACCAGGAAGATTTTTATTTTCCAGTAAGAGAAGAGGTTTAAGTTACGTATGCTTGGAAGTAGAAAGCAGAAAGGAAAGAATTAAATTTGTTATGCAGTGGAAGAATTTTAAATTTGTGTTTGTCGATGAGGTATTAGACTTTTTTAACATCTATTCATTCATCTAGAGCTACATATTCTTAGGCTGATTTTATTTATTTGCCACAACTTTTGGCTGGTTTGCTATACTATCTACTTTCTTGGCAGGCCTTGAGAAGTAATGGGAAGGTGGCTATGCCTGTTATCATAGTGCTAAATCTGAAGGTATTAGATTGATAACATTTAATGTGCTCTTTTTTTTGTAAACACAGGTAGAAGCTCCATTCATACCAAAGTGCAGAGGCCCTGGAGATACCAGCAACTTTGATGACTATGAAGAAGAAGATATTCGTGCGTCTCTAACAGAAAAATGTGCAAAAGAATTTGCTGATTTTTAGTAGGAGTAGGAGGACAAGATGACATCAGGGCTCACATTGGGATCTTTGCACTCTGTTATCAGATGAGGTGGAGCTGAGACCATCATATGTCAAAACAGTTACCTAGTTACTTCATTCCACAAAGCTGACTGAGGTCTTTATTGCCATCTTCCATGTGTGCGGTTTGCACCAACCCTTCTAACTAGGCACAATTAAGCAAGCACTGTTTGTGCAGTAACACAGAATAATAGACCACTTTCCTACTTAACTTTGGTTTCTGTCGTTCTTTGTTTCTGTGTATTGTTCATTTTTCCCCTTTAAAATGAAGTAGTTTTTTACCCAAGAATGCTCCATTTTATTTTGAATAATGTATTATTTGTGTGAGTGAAATGGAAGGTGTTGCGGCTAGTGTGATTTAGACTGAAGTGAAAGGTAAATGTTGCTTCTAGTCTGTGCCAGCCAATAATTCTTGTCTGTCTCGTGTCTGATGCTACAATTTATAATAATTTTTTAGTAGCTCAGACTAAACCTAGCCAACATTTTTAGCGTTTTTGAAGGTAGTATTTATCGCCATATAAATGTCTGCTAAATTAACTTTAAAATGTTTCTTCCTGGGGACTGACCAAAATTCAGTAGAATCAATTGGAAGGCTTAAGTAGGAGACAGTAGCTAGACCCCGTGCCTTGGTTTTCTACATCCCTGCGGTTTTCGTCACTGCCTCCTTCCTTTGTATTTCCACCTAGGCAGTAGGTCAGTTGCCATAACCAGACTGTACCACCGAAAGCTTACAGTCTCAAGAGAGGGAGTAATTCCATCTGGTCTGGATTTTGGACCATATTTAACCAAGTCAACTTACCAGCATTTCAGTTGGCCATATGAAATGACTTTTTTAAGAACATTAACCCTAAACTCTTAAAGGAAGTTTTGGTCAGTATTGTAGAGAATGACTCATTTTTATTTTATTTTTTTTTCTTAGCCAATATTTGGGCTCCCAAAGTATTCTTTGTTTTAAGCCTTTTTTGATATTTTTTTTTTTTTAAGGCATCCTTTAAAAAAAAAATAAATAAATAGAAAATGATGTTAAAGCAAAAAAAGCCACAAAAAGTAAAATGTGCTCTGCCATTAGCTTGTGAAAAGCAAATGGTTTAGCAAATGCAAAATAATGTTCTAGATGCATTGCTGGATGAACACGGTTATTTTTTGTTAGCTGTTAAGAATAAGAGGTTATTGCCAAGTTTTATTCTGGTATACTATATTAGTAAACTGAGGATGGAGTACTGCTACAATCACTTTCTTTTTAATTACAGCACTTCATTCATGAAGAAAAGAGACAAAGTTTAGAAACTGCAACAGCTGGTTTTATTTTAGTTACATTGTGTCTTCATTTTTAACCTACTTTCTTTCAATCAACCGGAATGTATGGTCACACAGATATAAGCATTTGGGCTTAATTATGTTTTGTATACTCTCACCAACTGACTTAAAAGATATTGCTGTCATGTGCTAGCTTTGGGCACTTTCACACATTTATTTCAATGTTAATAATCAGTGGCTCAGCACTTTTTTGGGGGTTGCTTTTAAACTTATTCATAGTAGTTTTATTTGTACACTTGATTCTGGCTCTCTCAATGACCTGTCTTAAAACAGCGCATCAAAACAGTTTAAACTAGACTCATACTTCATGACAAATTTACCTGCATACAAGGATGAATTGTTTTTAATAAAACTGAGCTCTATTGATACATAGCCATTGCATTTGTTTGAATGTCAGAGAAAATAAACCACTGACACTCCTTCCTTTTAAACTGTATGACACTCCTTTAAGAAAAGACTTTGTAGACATTTTACAGAAGAGTATGAGGCGTACCATCAAACATTCTCTGTTTAGGTTGTTGAGCATTTTTGCACAACATCTTTAGGAGGCTGATACTGAATGCAGTCTTTGTCCACCCATATTTACATATTTGCAAGAAAAGTATAAGATACTTTGCTGTAGCAAATTTTATGTAACAAAGATATGTCGTCACATTAATAAATTTAAAGAAATCCTTTGTATGAAAATGTTAAGATCTTTTGTATTTCATTTAGACCAAGGACATGCTGCTGTATGCTAGCTGTATGCGATAAATTCTACAGTAACTTTGTTGTCGTTTATGAACTTTAAAAGATTTTAATAAATGTTGGAGATCACAATTTGATTCTGTTATGATTTTAATTTTTAGTCATTGAAAAATTCTGATAAGATTCAGAGATTTTCTGTTTTGTAAAATACTGTAATCAATCATCTTGCGTGTACTATAAGACAAAAGTCTAGGAAATTGGTTCTGACGTGTCTGTCTGATATCCAGAATAAATCTACGTGGGCATAAGTGGGAAAGTCATCTTAATGCCATGATATTGTGGTATTTTTTAATTTTATGAAAATCCCGTTAGAAAGTAAAATACTTTTCCAATATGGCATAATAGACTTCAGTATGGAAATGAGATTCTATTTTGGAAAAGGAGGGGAAGTGTGCAATTTCCAAGGCATTAGTGAATACATTTGACAATGTGAGTATTATACAACCCTCTCATTTAAACACAGTCATAAAATATAACTGCAGAATATTATGTTACCTGTATTTAATTTGAAAAATCATTTTCACAATATGGAAAAATTGTATATCTATGACAGTAGAAGCTTGTTAATTTTACACATTTGAGGAATTAAGTGTTGAACTATATGGTATATTTTAATTGTACTCTAGTTGTATGTAACTTTCATTTCCAACATAAAGGATTGTATCTCATTAAGTAAATTGCTTTTTTATTATCTTGTCAGTTGCATTAAAACCCTTATTTTTAAATCCTTTAAAGTATTTTACTAATTTTTGCAAATAATTAGATGTTTTTAAGTGCTGCAATAGTGTGCAATATAGTAAACATTTATATACGGAAGTGCAAATTAAATTATGTACAACTCTCACGCTGCTTCTTTGTGAATCAAAATGTTGTATGATGAGTCACTGCATCTCACCACACACTGCAACAGGTCTTTGAAACAAGATGAGAAGGTTAGGACCCATACTGCCCATACTAGCTGGGACCCATTCAGATTTGCACTAGTTAGGATGGTTGGAGAACGCGGTACAGAGCAAAGGCACTTGAAGAAGCCAGTGAGTTGGACTTCTTAGACAATCAAAAGAAAATAAGGTGATCATTATCAGCAGTATTGTTTGTCTTCGTATTTTCACATTCAGACTTGCTGCTTTTTATTAAAGAGAATTGCCTGTTTTTAAATTGTCTGCAGATCCCGCTGTACAAATATGTGCTGTGTCTCATTGTGCTGTGAAACAACTGATAGAAGTAAAGACTGTTAATGGTCTTGGCACTGTCTGTCTGGAGGCTTTTTCTGCAAGTGTTGTTCTGAGAGGCTCTGATACCTCTGTCTGTAATGCAGCTCCTCTTCTCCCCAGTTCTGATCAACGCTTCGACTTTTTGCTTATGCTGTGTTTGCTTACGCCTACTACTGTGGTTTTGTGGGTTTTTTGTTTCAGTCTAAACCAGTGTTGCATTTTAAGAACTTGTTTACTTTTTCTAAAGATAATCATTTTGCAGTTCCTTAGATGATCTGCTTTTACTAAAACTCCCATGCAAACACAGCATGTCCAGCAGTAACTTGAAGGTGTCACTGAAATCTGTTCTTCTGATTTGCTGTACTTACAGGGGAGTTGTCCCAGATGAGAATTTGGGAAGATCCAGTCAATAGGAAATTGGTGAAAGCGCAATTTTGTTGTGGAGATGGGGTGTGTACAGCTGATCTGGTGTCTGACCAAAAAATGAGAAAAAAAGAATTTAAATTATGACCACTGTAAATGGGTTCCACGAAGATGGTTAAATATCTATAGGATAGTAAGTATGTCATCTTCCATAGGAATTATATAAAGTGTTCCTTAGAAAGACAAGACAGGCATCTCAGGAGAAGACCTTAAGATAGCTTATTTTTCTAGCTTTTGAAGTTGATGATGATTGTTTAAATCTGAGGTCTAGTCCCATTTTTATCTTCTCTTGGTATTTGCTTGGTTTGTTCTTATTGTTTTTGTTTGTTTGGGTTGGTTTTTGTGTGTGGTGTGTGTGTGTGTGTGTGTGTGTGTGTGTGTGTTGTGTTGTGTATTTTTTTCTAGACTACTTAAGCTTTCCTAGTTTACTCTTACAATTCTCTACTATTTAAAGTCTGTACCTAAGGTGAATAACAGCCATTTGAGGCTTCCACTGAATCATTTGGATGAGCTCCCAATGCACTACTTCAAAATAAGAATAATTTCCTTTAGAAGCCTTATAGTCTGGATATTTTTTCCCTCCCTCAGAGGGTCAAATACAAATGCGTGTGGGGAAAAAAAAAAAAAAAAGGGGGGGGGGGGGGAAAGTGTTTCCAAAATTGTGTCTTTCTTTTAAATTTAAAAGCAATTCATTATTTATGGTCAATGAATTATGTAGAAAAGACCCAGAGGTGGACTTGCACATTCCTTATTTGTGCTCAGGTTGCAATTTTCAGTTTTCATAGACAACGTGACAGCAATTCATTAATTGCAAGTTCTCTTCACGTTGAGAAGTAGCCTGTATAAGAGTGATACATCTTGATATATCTATATATGATATATCAATACAGATAAAACAATTCACCCAATAGATGGACATGACTGCAGCGCAAAAGCTCCTTAGGATGAAAAGTTCTTCTCTTAAGGAGTTTGATGACAGAAAACCATATTAGCAGTTTTCCTGTGCTGGGAGAAAGAAGCTAATCTTTTTCCTTTGCTTCCAAAATGCTGGGAAGAACACTGCCAGGGGATATTTACCCAAGTGGAGCAAGGTCTCAGCGGTCTGGTGTGTAGTGTGGTGCATTTTGAATCCATCTGGTCAGTTTGAAAATTCCAGGAAAAAATATTGGTGAGTAAGACAGTATTGAGAAAACTGAAAGTGTTGGCAGAAAGGCTTGATCCTTCACCTTAGCACCAAAGTACTGAATTCAGGAGCCAGAGAGATTGTTTTCACGTAAATGAAAAACACCACAGATGCTTGATGTTTTAGTTTTGCTTATTCTGTTGCTTTCTTTGGAATAAGATCATAAATAGTGAAAAGGAGTGAAATGAAAGCATTTGTATTATGTAAATGACTTGTAAATAGAGAATATTTAAATGCCTTATAAATCACCTATATCCTACAGGTGTATTTCTCTACATACAGTGATTATTAACCTTTGTGGAAAGAAATCCTCCATAACAAACCGAAAAAGGCACTGGCAAGGTGTGGTCCTTGTTTTTCACTTTCTTTGTATCACTTAGAAAGTAAAAATGTGTTCTTTTCTAACTTTCTGCTCATCAGTTTGCTTAATATTACTTCTGTTATCAGAAGATCTTGGTGGCAGAATCAGCCTAAAGGCTACATGATACGGTGTCTGCCTGATGGTGTTTTTTTCACCTCTGTCCTTACCAAGATAGTTTATGCTGGGAAATATGTCTTTTCTTGAACTTTTTATACTCCAGGCTACAATGAAAATCTGCAAATCAAAATGGATCCCGATTCCACTTTAACATGACTTCTCAATTCCAAAATGCTCTATTTGCATTCATTTGCTTGTAGATGGCACGTGGAAATGATGTGGATCAGGATGTGTGAGAAGTGCCAGCTGTGGTGTGTAGGAAGAACAGGCAGCTTGCACAGTGCCCATGGACAAGTAGTAGCAAAGGAGAAATTCGGGTAGGAGCATTTAGATAATAAGAAGGTAATGTATGCAATACCAACCATGAATATCTGTTGCTTATCTATTATGTTTTGCCTTTAAATCTTTTATGAAGTAATTAGTAACTAATGCTTGTAATGTTTTTAACTGGGTTTTATATCAGTAACAAAGAAATTTTTTGCTGCTGACTTGAACAAAAGCGTTTTTCTGTACTTTGTCTGCACCAGCTGCATGAAAATTCTCCTAAAAATCCAGGACTGCTTAATTCTATTTTAGTTAGAAGCTAGGATCCGAGTGTTTTCTGTTTTAATAGCACCAGTCCCATTTATTTATTACCTGCATTTGAAATTTCCGAAGTCCTGTGCTTTAAACAAAGATTTTTCACAGTAACATCATTTCTAAACTGGTTCACTAAACATACAGTATTAATAAAAAGATGTGTATCTTCTCTGTTAGGGGAGCTGAATACCAATCAAGTTTAGATGCATCTCTATGTTACTTCTACTACTAACCGTAATTGAACTGTTTAAAAGCAAAAAAAAATCCCAACACATTGCCCACTGTTCTTCTGCATGAGGTCAGCACCAGAGCAGCTGGAGGGAAAGTGAAGTTACAGCAACCATGTTCTTCAGGGAGTCTCAGGTCAGAATTCATCAACAATTCAGAGATCAGTAAATGTATATTTTTAAAAGGTCAGCCTCACTGTTAAAACCTTAATGAATAACTTCTGAATGCCATGTCTGCTCGTGTTCACATGTGGCTATCTGCATGGTTTGGGTTTTGTTTTGTATCAAAGGAGGGTAGAGAGGAAAAGCAGGGTCTCCTGCTGCGTGGTGGGAGTGCCCTGCTGCAACAGGGGTTTTTCATTCCTGCAGTCACTGGTGCTGTTTGCAATCTCTGCCTAAACCACGCACACGTCCCTTTGTCTTTTGTGTTTGTGCACAAGGTGTAGAACTGCATTGATTGCTTTTAGTTTTCTCATAGTTCAGGGCCTATGGAGCCTTGAACTTCTGACACCAAGATGAATTTGTGAACAAGCTTCTGCTCTTCTTCATTAAGTGTATACCTGGTCCTGAATCTTACTGCCTTCAGCTTCTAAGAAAACCTTTTGATGAGAAGGTGATATATGAATATTACTTTGGTGCTTTTAAGGAAAAATTAATGACACCTCAGCCTGTGCAGGATTCAGCAGAAGCCTTCATTACATGAACAGCTGTAGAGCAGCTGTTAATGGACCCATGTTGAAAACAGAGGAAGGCTCAGCACAGCTGCACTGGCACACTTGATTGCTACTGTCAGTTGGCTGCTGGAGAAGCTGGGTGCCAGTCTTACCTGCTGGAAAAACAATAAGAATTTGGAAAAATAAGATAGGATTTTTAGAAATGGAGGAGGTGTTTGGTGTTGTCTCTGCAGAAAATATTTTCCAGCTTGTTATCTGTGTGTCTGTGATGGATGTTTCTTTGAGTGTGGGCCT